GTGAAATAAATAAGAGAGAGAGAGAGAGAGAGAGAGAGAGAGAGAGAGAGAGAGAGAGAGAGAGAGAGAGAGAGAAATACAAGATAGCAATAACGCTGTTCTGGCCCAGCTCCCAAACACAACAAATCTTCTATATTTAAATCAATGATTCCTTTAATTGGGAGCCCCAGCAGCTCCGGTAAAAAGTCTCTCTCTCCCAGCAGACTAACAAGTCCATCCGGCAGCGAGATGAATAGTTGTCTGCCACATCTATTCATTTCCGCCCCCTGCCTTTTATCCCCGGAGTTAGGGTGGGGCTTCACTAGCAAAGGTGGCTTTTCTGTCCCAAGGACCGGCCCATAGATTTCCACTGCTCTCCTCTCCTCTGCCTTCTGCACATCCACAAATCAGGCACTGGACCCAGCTGTTCCTCCTCTTCCTCATCAACCTCCTGCAGACCTGGGGGATGTTAACTCTGCATCTGGGGGCTGAGGGACGGCCCAGGCTCTGCCTTTCTCTGTCTGTCTGTCTGTCTCTCTCTCTCTCTCTTTCCCCACCTCTCTTTCTCTCTCTCCTCTCTGTCTCTCACTTTCTGTCTCTCTCTCTTTCCCTCTCTCTCTCTTCTATCTCTCTCTCTGTCTCTCACTCTCTGTCTGTCTGTCTCTCTCTCTCTCTTTTTCCTCTGTCTCTCACTGTCTCTCTCTGTCTCTCTCTATTTCTCTTCTCTCTGTCTCTCACTCTCTTTCTCTCCTTCTCTTTGTCTCTCTCTCTCTCTCTCTCTGCCAGCTCCATTCCCTCTTCCTCCTTGGAGCTCTCAGGTTGCCCTGATGCTGAACCTGATTCCCACACCTCCTCCTCCTCTGATTCGGCTGTTTGGGGGGGGTAGCCAAAACAAGCACTTAGACCTATACGCCACTTCCCAGTTCTTTCATAGCCCTCTCTAAGCAGTTTACAGAGTCAGCCTCTTGCCCCCCAGCAATCTTGGTCCAGAAGCGCAAAAATGTAGACAAATATAAGGAAACAGCCCTAACAAAAAAAAGGTAAATTTTACAAATGATAAACGAAGCATTGAATTTAACACCACTTAAATTCAACCCTTATGTTAGAACTGGGATGACAGTTTTACTTGACATTTGTATAAGAAGAAGAAACCCACCACAGAAATCATCCAGAGTGATTTTAAGAAGCATCAACTGTTCGCTTTTTTTTCTAAGCAGATAATAATTTAAAAGGGAGGTATATAAAAGGATATAAAAAGAGTCAGAGCAGGCCTGGGGGAAATATAGTGTTATCGGAAGGCTTAAAAAGGGTAAAGGTTCTCCTTGTGCTAGTCCTTCCCAACTCTAAAGGGCGGTGCTCATCTCTGTTTCAAAGCCGAAGAGCCAGCGCTGCCCGAAGACATCTCTGTGGTCATGTGGCCGGCATGACTCAATGCCAAAGGCACACGGAACGCTGTTTCCTTCCCACCAAAAGTGGTCCCTATTTTTCTAGCATTTTTACATGCTTTCGAATTGCTAGGTTGGCAGGAGCTGGGACAAGTCATGGGAGCTCCCTCTGCTAAATGGGATTCGAACCACCAAACTGCTGACCTCTCTGATCGACGAGCTCAGCCTCTTAGCCCCTGAGCTACATCGTCCCTCTTATCACAAGGCTTAGTTTCCTCTAAAAGTGTAAGAATCTAGCTAAACCGTTGTGTTTATAAAAACTCAACTCATTATCTTGTTGCAATCCCTTAATGCATTAGTAAATCCAGGCACTGGTTTTCAGTAATTAAGACAGCCTAATTAACCTGTTTAATTTCAAAAGGGGTTGATTTTAAAATACCGACTGGGGTTTTTAAGCGCTGACTGGAATTTTTTTTTTTTTTTTAAATACTGATCGGAATTTTGCTTTTTCTCTTAAAGTGAACGACCTCTGGATGTTCCATGACGATTGCTCCATCGAAAAATTCTGTGATTCTCCGGACGGCGTCCTGATGTGCGGTAGCCATGATGGCAGAGAGGCCTACGCCATCACCCATGACCTCACTCCTACGGAGCATTGGATCATGCAGTTCAAGGTCAACGCTAACTTTTGAAGAATGGAGATTTGCATGGACCTTTGAATTCATAAATAGCTTTTCCCAAAAGAAGTTGGTTTTGTCTAAACCACAAATTCCTGGCCGGTACTTCGATATCAACCTTTGACTTATCAGTATACCAATCAATCAATCAGGCACCTTGGAGGTCTTCTAGTCCAGCCCTCTGCTCTAGCAAGAGACCCTTCCATTTCAGACCAGTGGCTGTCCAGTCTCTTCTTAAGAGCCTCCAGTGATGGAGCTCCCCACAACTCCTGGAGGCAGTTTGTTCCACTGATTAATTGTCCTCACTCTTAGGAATGTTCTCCTTAATTTGCTTCTCTCCTTGATTAGTTTGTTTCTTGTCCTGCCTTCTGGTGCTTTGGAAAATAAATTGAACCCCTCCTCTTAATGACAGCCCCTCAAATATTGGTATACGGCTATCACTTCACCCTTAGTCCTTTTGTAAAGTCTGTTCCAATGATGGCAGTGGTGGGATTCAAATAATTTAACAACCGGTTCTCTCCCCTAATGACCAGCTGGGTAGGGGGTGGCTCAGTGGTCATGTGACTGGGTGGGCATGGCCAGCCTCAATGTCACTCACGTCGNCAAAAGAAGAAGAAGGGGACGGCAGAGAAGGAGGTGGCTGGATGGAGTGACCAAAGCAGTCGGCGTGAGCATCAATGGACTCCATGGTAGAGGACAGGAAGGCCTGGAGGAACGTGGTCCATGGGGTTGCGATGGTTCGGACACGGCTTTTGCAACTAACAACAACAATAATGAACAAGACGGAGAACCTATAGAAATTAAAGTGATTACGTGTCGAAGGAAAAATCAGATTATCCACCCAAGGGAGGAAAAATTTCTGTTATGTTTCTTCCAGGTTCATCAGGCGCAATTTGGATGGTGCTGCGGAAGATATTGTTGATTAATGTTGTGTGTGTGTATTCGTAGCTGGGCTAATTTCATTACCTTCGAACCTGCTAAGAATCAAGACGTCAGCAACAACGCGCAGAAAGAGACGGGGAAGTAGGGTGGGGGGAATTATTTCGCGCAACGGGCATCTTATCAAAAACGGAACAGCTATTAAAAAAATAGTTGGTCTTCTCAACAACATGAGAAATACACAGAATGGTTGCGCAATGGCAACACAGGCAAAAATACAACTTATATAACCAATTTCGTTGTATTTATTTTGTACAATGACAATAAAGACTATACTATTATGGCGAGTTCAATAACTTGCCCGAATGATAGAAATAAAGAACAGATCAAGTCCAAATAAGTCAAGGCCGAAATAAAGAAGAAGAAGAAACTAATTTAGATTCTGGGGGATGAGTATTAGGTGGTCCTTGATTTAAGACTCTCACAACGCTTCTCTGAACGCACTCGCTCCCCCAACGGGGAGCTTACCTAACACGCGGGAAACTGCAATCATCATAAATAAGAGTCAGTTGCCAAGCATCTGAATTTTGATCACCTGCCCATGGGGAAGTGGCAACGGTCGTAAGCCATTTTTTCCCTGCTGCCGTGGTAACTTTGAACGGTAAGTAAATGAACTGTTGTAAGTCAAGAACAGCCTGTATCTAAAAGTGTCATATAAGATGGAAGCCATCAAAGGAGATAAGAGGGTGTTCTGACCTTGGTTTCCCCTAAAAAGCAGGAGGCAGATTCCTGGTCCCCCCCAAAAAACCCTTTTCTTAAACGAATGTGAATTCCTCTCATTCACATTTAGATAAGGCCTGGTCAACAGTCTTTCAAAGGTGAACTTATGATCACAGACCTTATCTAGCTTGGAAAGCTGCCATGTAAATATTTTCTAAGCGCATTGCTGTGCAAGGAAAGACTTGGCACAGAGTCTCGGAGATTCCCGGACAGATCTTTACACTCCTGAAACGAACTAACAAACTAACAAACAAATTGTATCCTGCCAAAGCGCATTCCCCTTTCGCTCCTCTTTTATTTCCTATGGAGGGGCCAATCACCGTCCACCCATGGCTTTACTCCCAAGTCGACCCTGATTTCTTAGCTGTTCTTTTCTTCTGGCAGGTCTGCACATGTGCACACTGGGAACAGGCTCCAGCTCCAGGTTAAAGGAATTCATCTCCAGCAAAGAGTTTCTCGTTAGATTTCACAATAACGGACTTTTATCAGGCTTGGAGAGCTGTCAGGCCGATATCTTCCAAACTCCATGCTGTAGCCGCAATTACTTGGCAAGAAGTCAGGAACAGATCTTCACCCGAATGAATTGAACTAATTGTCTCCTGCAAACTCCATTCCCCTTTTGCTCCTCTTTATTCCCTCTGGGAGGGGCCATTCACCGTCCACCTGTGGCTTTACTCCTGAGTCAACCTTTGTTCCTTAGCTGTTCCCTTCTCCTGGCAGCTCTGCGCATGCGCACATCGGGAACAGGCTCCAGCTGTTCCTCTGCCTCAGTGATGTCTGACTCTGAAGGCAACTGATAACTGCCAGGTGGCCCTGGCCCCTTCTCTGCCTCCGACACAGAGCCTTCCC